GCGGGCTTGATGTTTACCGACAAGGCTTTGCAAATCATGACACCCATGGATATGCTTACGCAAGTCACCAATCCCACTGAAGCCTGACATCCCCCAAGAAGGATTTTAATTCTAAGAGTTGGAAAGACTTGGGCTATGAAAGGTGGTAGTCAACAAGGCCACACAGTTCTTGCTCTCAGGTTTTAAACCTTCCCCATTACCACCTGACCTTGGAAAAAGAAAGGGTGACACATCCATAGCTTAGGGTGGAAGAATTCCAGAGCAGGTGAAACCTGTGTACCAAGGATGTGCCAAGGTGATATGTCAAGAGAAAATGTGGATTGTCTGAGGGTCAACAGTCTTGAAAAAGTAAAAAGAGAGAACTTCTCAAATGCAGGGTGGATTCTTTCCAAGAAATAAAATCACTGCTCTTGACTCACTTAATCCTTCGCCATGTTGCTGTCAGCTCACCAACTAAGAGTGTGTGTGTGTGTCTTGCTGGGCCCATTTTCCCATGGTCTGTAGAAGGCGCTGTGAAGCACATCCTGTTCTAACTCTGGGGCCCTTCCCCCTCTGCAGCCTTACCCAGTGCAGAGAATGCGCCCCCTACTGACTCCAACACTCATTGCCTTTAGCCGACTTGGCTGCGGTGCATTTTGGGTGGGGGCTGGTATTTTCTTCATGGCCATAAACCAGAAGCAACAATGCAGATTCATAAAGAAACTGTACCAAGCTACTCTGGAGGCCCCCCCCCACGCCCCCCTCTAGAAGGTTCAAGGCACAGGCCCGAGGAGCATCAGGGATGGGGACTGAGGGTGTGGGGATGGCCAGCAATGGAAATGGCAACCACAGGAAGCAGTCTGGTTGGGTTTTCCCTCCTAAGCCTTTGTCTGAAAAATGGGGTGAGGGCAGACCCGGCCAGGGGCAGGGGTGGATGCCAGCTGCCCGGGAAAACTTCGTGTGGGGAGCGCGTGGGGCCAAGAGGGCGTTCAGCCCTTCGGGCCGGTCTAGAGGCAGAAGAGGAAGAGGGGCCATCGCGCCTTTTCCAGCAGGCAGGTTTGGGGGGGCGGGGGGAGGGGAGGGCAGGGGAGGTGAAGAAGAGGGTGCTCACAGAACTGCTCCCCATTCATTGCATCCCAGACCCGCTTGCCACCCTGACATTTTCCAGCAGCATGTTGCAAAGTTGGGGCGCAGCGTGCTCGCGCGCGGCTGTGCAGGCCGGGGGACAGGGGCCGGGGCGGGGG